AGAATGTATATTCTGTTGATTTGTGGTGGAGAGTTCTATAGAACAAAAGAGTTGGAAAGTTATGCACCAAACTGTTAAAAGTGGTTTCTCTTCAGGGGAGTGGGGGGAGGGGCCCCACAAGGGTTTTATAGGGGCCTTTCACTTTCTTTTTTTTCATATTGTTCTGTTTGAGTTTTTTATAAGTATGTGTTACTTTTGTAGTCAGAATTTTTAGAAAGTATTTTACTGATTTAAAGGCTTAGGCATGTTCAAATGCCTGCAAAAGTACTTATCACTCAGCTTTAGTTTTTCTAATCCAAGAAGGCAGGGCAGTTAGCCTTTTTGGTGCCTGTGTGAAATGTCAGTGCTTTTATGTTTTCCTGCTTTATGGATGAAAAATATTTCTGAGTGGTAGTTTTTTGACAGACAGACAGACAGACCATATCTTCTTATCTTGTTTCAAAATAAGTATTTCTCATTTTGTAAAATAAAATATAAAATATGTCTCAGATCTTCCAATTAATTAGTAAGGGTTCATTCTTAATCCTGGCTAGTTTAAGCCTACCTAAGTCACTTTACTAAAAGATATTTGTTAACCCAGTATTTTAAACATCTGTCAGCTTATGTAGGTAAAAGTAGAAGCATGTTTGTACACTGCTTGTAGTTATAGTGACAGTTTTCCGTGTTAAGAGTCTCATATCATCTTGTATCTTAAAGCTTCACGTGAGTTTTTAATGTTAGGATGATTAAGATGTATATAGGACAAAATGTTAAGTCTTTCCTCTACCTACATTTGTTTTCTTGACTAGTAATAGTAGTAGATACTTATGAAATAAATATTCTCTCAAAATTCTTAAAACCTCTTGGAAATTATAAAAATATTGGCAAGAAAAGAATAGTTGTTTAAATATTTTTTAAAAGACACTTGAATAAGAGTCAGTAGGGTATAAGCTAGAAGTTTAAAAATGCTTCATAGAACATCCAGAGTTTACATTACAAGATTCTCACAACAAACCTATTGTAGAGGTGAGGAAGGCATGTTACTACAGAGAAAAGTTTGAGCGTAAAACTGTAAAAAATTATATTTTTGTTGTACTTTCTAAGAGAAAGAGTGTTGTTGTGTTCACCTATCTTCAGTTGATCACTACTTTAAGTGGTATTCATTTAAAACATTGCAAATTTATTTTATTTATTTATTTATTTTTCTTTTTGAGATGGAGTCTTGCTCTGTTGCCCAGGCTGAAGAGCAGTGGCTTGATCTTGGCTCACTGCAACCTCTGCCTCCCAGGTTCAACAGATTCTCCTGCCTCAGCTTCCTGAGTAGCTGGGATTACAGGCGAGCACCACCATGCCTGGCTAATTTTTGTATTTTTTAGTAGATGGGATTTTACCATATTGCCCAGGCTGATCTCAAACTCCTGACCTCAAGAGATCTGCCCACCTTGGCCTCCCAAATTGCTGGGATTACAGCCTTGAGCCACTGCGCACCCAGCCAGAATGTTGCAAATTTAAATCAGGGTTTTAAAAATTAAATAATGACTGCCCTGCTTATGTTTTAGTATGTAAATCCTCAGTTCTTCACCTTTGTACTGTCTGTCACTTAGTTTGGTTATACAGTCATTAACTTGAATTTGATCTGTATAGTCTAGACTTTAAGTTTAAATTTAAAGTGTTCTGCAAGGGGAGAAAAGTGTTAAAATTTTTAAAATATGCTTTCCAGGACACATCAGCTCCAAATCAGGTAGGTAGTTCAATCTAGTTGTTAGTTAAGGACTCCAGGAATAAATTGTTTTAGCATAAGGCTTTTCCTGTTCTGGGAGCAGCAGTTTATTAAAATTTTTCTTCTAAAACTTGTGTGTTTAGAGTTAAGAAAGACATTTTTTTTCTTCTCTGTGAGTTGTGAAATTTAATGCACAACACTGATGTGCTAACAAGTTTATTTTAAGAATTGTTTAGAAATGCTGTTGCTTCAGGTTCTTAAAATCACACAGCACTCCAACTTTTAATCAAATTTTAGGAGACTTACCAGCATTTGTCTGTGTTTGAACTATAAAAAGCACTGGATCTTTTCCATCTAATTCTGCAAAAATGATCATCTGCAAAGTCAAAACTATAACTATATCCAAATCTTTTCCCCCTCCCAAGAGTTCTCAGTGTCTACAGGTAGACATTCCTTTCCTATATAAAGTTCACTCTAGGATTTCAAGTCACCGCTTATTTTACATTTTAGTCATGCAAAGATTCAAGTTGTTTAGTAATAAGTACTTATCTTTATTTATAGTAATTTAGTCTGCTGATCAAAAGCATTGTCTTAATTTTTGAGAAATGGTTTTAGCATTTACAAACTAAATTCCAGTTATTTAATTAATGGCTTTATATTGCCTTTCCTGCTACATTTGTTTTATTCCCCTGTCCCTTTGATTATGGGCTAAGGTAGGGTAGAGTGGGTGTAGTGAGTGTATAGGATGTGATTTGGCCTTGTGTATTATGATATTTTGTTATTTTTGTTGTTATATTATTTACATTGCAGTAGTTGTTTTTTCTGTTTTCATTTTAGTGGATAAAATTTGTATTTTGGGCAATGAAAAAAAGTCATTTTTTTCTTCAGCACCTTAAATATGTTATGCCACTATCTCCTGGCCTGTAAGGTATCCAGTGAAAAGTCTACTGCCAGATCTATTGGAACTCCACTGCATATTATTTGCTTATTTTCTCTTGATGATTTTAGGATATTTTCTTTATCTTTGATTCTTCAGGGTTTGATTATTAAAACCCTTAAGGTAGTCTTTTTGAGTTAAATCTGCTTAGTGTTCTATACACTTATTCTTTTTGGATATGGATATCTTTCTCTAGGTTTGGAAAGTTCTCTGTTATTATCCCTTTGAATAAAATTTCTACCCTTATGTGTTTTGTTACCTTCTTTTTAAGGCCAATAATAACTCTTAGATTTGCCCTTTTGAAGCTATTTTTCTAGTAAGCCTGCTTCATTGCTTTCTGTTCTTTTTTCCTTTGTCTCCTGTGACTGTGTAGTTTTAAATAGCCTGTCCTCAGGCTCACTAATTCTTTCTTCTCCTTGATAAATTCTGCTATTAAAAGACTCTGATGCAAATTTTAGTATACCAACTGCATTTTTTGCAGTTGTCATACTAAATTGCACCTCCAGAATTTCTGCTTGATTATTTTTATGTATTTCAATCTCTTCATTAAGTTTATCTGATACAATTCTGAATTCTTTCTCTGTATTGGATTGCTTTTTCCTTTTTTTTTTTTTTTTTTTTTTTTTTTTTTTTTTTTTTTTTTTTTTTGGTTTCCTGAAAACAGCTAGTTTAAATTCTTTGTCTGAAAGGTCACATATTTTTGTTGCTAAAGCATTTGTCCCCGGTGACTTATTTATTTCATTTCATGACGTAATGTTTTCCTGGATGATCTTGATATTTGTAGATGTTCATCTGTGTCTGCGAATTGAAGAATTTGGTATTCATTGTAGTCTTTGCAGTCTGGGCTTATTTGTATCTGTCCTTCTAGGGAAGGCTTTCTAGATATTCAAAAGGATGTGGGTGTGTGATCTAAGCTGTATCTGAATCTTGGGGCACCACATGCCCAGTAATGCTGTGACTCTTGCAGACTCATAGAAGTTCCACCTTGATGGTCTTGGATAAGATGTGGGAAAATTCTACAGATTGCCAGGCAGAGATTCTTGTTCTCTTCCCTTACTTACTTCCAAACAGATGTAGTCTCTCCCTCTCTCCATTGTGAACCACCTAGAGCTGAGGGTAGAGTGACACAAGCATCCCTGTGGCTACGACCAATGTGACCCCAGGCCTGCTGTAACCACTCCCTGGCTACTGTCTATGTTTACTCAAGGCCCTGGGGAATCTATAATCAGCAGGTGGTAAACCCAGCCAGGCTTGTGTCCCTTTCTTAATAGTAGCAAGTTTCCCCATTCTTTGTGTGGGTCCTGTGGTGCCATTCAGGAGTCAGGGACTAGAATCAAAATCCTTAGGTGTCTACCTGGTGTGCTATTGCACTGCACCTGAGTTGGCACTCAAATTACAAAATGCAGTCCTTCCCACTCTTCCCTCCCCTTTCCAAAGCAGAGAAGCCTCATCCCATGGCCACCATAACCATAGGCCCATGGAGACTACTGTCAGACTACTACCAATGTTCCCTTAAATGCCAAGTTCCCTTTAGTCAGCTTGTAGACAATGCTGCCCAACATGGGACTCACCTACAGAACGGTAGGTTCCCTTCCAGCCCAAGAAACATACAGAAATGCCATACAAGAGCCATATTATTGATTTGAGGACCCTGAGAGGTCATTTGGTGGTCTGCCTCCCTGTGGCCAAGCTGATATATAAGGTATAAGACCAAATCCCCCTCACCTTTTTCTCTCCCTTCAGAAGCAGAAGGAATCTTGCCTCAACCACTAGAGCTTGGAATATGCTGAGTTTCACCGGAAGCCAGCAGCTCTCAGTGTCACCAAAAACCATCAGCAATGTACCTGGATATCATTTCAGGTTATTCAGGGCCCAAGGGCTCTTCAGTTGGCCGGTGATGAGTGTTGCCAGGACTGGGTCCTTCCCTTCAAGGATGTCTAGAAATGTCATTCAGCACACCAACATGGCACAAGTATACATATGTAACAAACCTGCACGTTATGCACATGTACCCTAGAACTCAAAGTATAATAATAAAATAAATAAATAAATAAATAAATAAATAAATAAATAAGAAATGTCATTCAGGAGTTAGGGCCTGGAAAGGGAGCCTCATTGCTCTAACAGGTGCCCTATCCTGCTATGGATGAGGTGGCATCCAAGATGCAAGATAAAGTCCTCCCCACTTTTCTCTTTTGTCTCTTCAAGCAGGAGGAAGGCGTCTATTTTGGACTTGCAAGCTGTGCATGCTGGGATAAGAAGAAGGATGATATGAGCACTCCCTTGGCCTGGTTGGTGTCTCAGTAGATCACATGTCCCTCTAGTCCACTGTATCTGGGCACAGTTTAGAACTAGGACTTTCCTAGAAGTTGCAGTCCTTGCAGCCTAGGCTGCCTTTTAAGATTATTTAGAGCCCCAGGGCACTTTACCCCTGGTGGCAAGACAAGCAGGAACTCCAAGTTCTGACTGCTGGAGTTAGTAATTCTCCCCTGACTAAGGTTGGTTTAAATGCTCTCTCTGTGGGCAGGTGTTAGCTGAGTTTCATCCAGTTTTTCTTTCTGCTCTAATAGGACAGCACTGAGTTCGATGTCTCACGATTGCTGCACTCTCCCTCTCTGGCACACAGAAACACTCTTCCCACCACACTGTCACTCCTACTCACTGCTAGGGAATAGGAGAGTAGTGGCATTGGTAATTCAAAGCTGTTGTTTCTACCTTTTTAGTGCCTCTATCTGCAATATGAACTTAAAACCAGGTGCTATGAGTACTCACCTAATTTTTGGTTCTTATGAAGGGTGATTTTTTGTATTTTTGTAGCTGGTTGTTAAAGTGATGTCCCTGCAGGGAAGACAATTGGTGGAACTTTCCATTCTGCCTTCTTGCTCCATCCTCTGATACAATTACTATTTTTAAAAAGTACAAAGAAGAGCTAGAGACAAATTAAGTAAAAACAGAAATTTGAATTCTGTGGTTGAACCATCAACTCTCTAGTCAACTGTTCTCCAAGGTTCTAACATCGTGAGAATACACTGTACTTCCTTCCTTCTAATTCTTCCACATCTGACCTTTCTAACCCTTTATTTACTGTGCCTTCTGGAACACACTTTCCATTATGAGTAAGTTATCCTATGTCCTAAACCTCTACAGAGAATTCTCTCACCATGTCCTTGCCTTAAGCTAACCTTGGTCTTTCTCATCAAAAGTATGCTGCTTATTTTTCTACATCCCATATACTGTGAGCCAGAGTCTATCAGCTGTCTCTTGGCTTGCTGATGCTACTCTAAATCATTACTTTTCTACCATAATGCAAAAAGACATTCATCTATGTCATCCTCTAATCTTTCTTATTCACATCATCTGTCAACCTCCTAGACAGTTCTCCTTTCTACCTCCTAAATTCTATGATCACACTGGTAACTTCATCTTCCATGTGAACAACCAACCCAACAAGCTGACTTCAATTTTTACCACCTTATCTGAAACAATGTCCATTCATATTCCACCTTGGTTACTCATTCCATGCTCATGCCCAGGGCCTTATTTATCACCACAGAATTGAAATTTGGAACTCCGGTGTACAACACTCTGACTAAAGCCCATAGGATTTCAGATCTCTCACATCCCTTTTACCACTACACCAGTTCATACATCTCAGAGTGTCTTCAAGTCTTTTGTGCCCCCTCTTTTCTGCCAATCTATTAAACTTCTTCATAATTTTACTTTTAACTATTATTTTGGTTGCATTCTATTGTTGCTAGTTTTATTTTTTATAGTTTCAACTTTTATTTAGATTAAGGGGTACATTGTGCACTTTGTTACATTAGTATACTGCATAATGCTGAGGTTTGGGGTACAAATGATCTCAACACCCAGGTAGGGAACACAGTACCCAATAGGTAGTTTTTCAGCCCATGCCCACTTCCCTTCCTCCCCCATCAGGTAGTCCACAGTGTCCATTGTTCTAATCTTTATGTCTACATGTATTCAATATTTAGCTCCCACTTGTAAGCAAGGAAGTGTGGTATTTGGTTTTTGGTTCCTATGTTAATTGCTTAGGATAATTGCCTCCAGCTCCATCCATGTTGGTTTGTTTTTTATATAGCTGCATAGTATTTCATGGTATATATGTACCACATTTTCTTTAACCAGTCTATCATTGATGGCCATTTAGGTTGATTCCATGTCTTTGCATTGTGAATAGCAGTTTGATGAACATGTGCATGGATGTGTTTTTTGATAGACTGAATTATTTTCCCTTGGCTATATAGCCACTAGTGAGGTTGCTGGGTCAAATAGAGTTCCATTTAAAGTTTTTCAACAAATCTCCAAACTGCTTTCCATAGCGACTGAGCTAGTTTGCATCCCACTAGCAGTGTATAAGCACTCTCTTTTCTCCACAGCCTCACCAGCATCTTTTATTTTTAACTTTTTACTAATTGCCATTTTGACTATTGTGAGACGGTATTTTACTGTGGTTTTAATTTGCATTTCTCTGGTGATTAGTGATGTTGGGTATTTTTTATGTTTGATGGTCATTTGTACAACTTCTTTTTTTTTGTGGATCTATTTTTTTTTCTTTTTTATTTATTTATTATTATTATTATACTTTAAGTTCTAGGGTACATGTGCATAACATGCAGGTTTGTTACATATGTATACTTGTGCCATGTTGCTGTGCTGCACCCATCAACTCGTCAGCACCCATCAACTCGTCATTTACATCAGGTATAACTCCCAATGCAATCCCTCCCCCCTCCCCCCTCCCCATGATAGGCCCCGGTGTGTGATGTTCCCCTTCCCGAGTCCAAGTGATCTCATTGTTCAGTTCCCACCTATGAGTGAGAACATGCGGTGTTTGGTTTTCTGTTCTTGTGATAGTTTGCTAAGAATGATGGTTTCCAGCTGCATCCATGTCCCTACAAAGGACACAAACTCATCCTTTTTTATGGCTGCATAGCATTCCATGGTGTATATGTGCCACATTTTCTTAATCCAGTCTGTCACTGATGGACATTTGGGTTGATTCCAAGTCTTTGCTATTGTGAATAGTGCCGCAATAAACATACGTATGCATGTGTCTTTAGAGCAGCATGATTTATAATCCTTTGGGTAGGGTCTGTTCCTGTTCTTTGCCCATTTTTAAATTGGATTATTTTGTGCTTGTTGATTTATGTTCCTTATAGATTCTGGATATTAGACCTTTGTCAGGTGTACAGTTTGCAAATATTTTCTCCCATTCTGTAAGCTGCACATTTACTCTGTTGGTAGTTTATTTTGCTTTGCGGAAATTCTTTAATTAAATTAAGTTCTACTTGTCTATTTTTGTTTTTGTTTGAATTGATTTTTGGGACTTAGCCATAAATTAATTTGCCAAAGTCAGTGTTAAGAAGGGTATTTCCTAGGTTTGCTACTAATATTTTTAAAGTTTGAGGTTTTCCATTTAAAACCTTGATTCATCTTCAGTTAATTTTTGTATATAGTGAGAGGTATAGGGTCCATTCTTTTGCATATGGCTAGCCAGTTATCCCAGCATCATTTATTGAATACGGAGTCCTTTCCCCATTGCTTATTTTTGTCAGTTTTGTCAAAGATCAGATGGTTGTAGGTGTGTACGTTTATTTCTGGGTTCTATATTGTGTTCCACTGGTATGTGTCTGTTTTTGTACCAGTATCATGCTATTTTGGTTACTGTAGCCTCATAGTATGGTTTGATGTTGAGTAATGTGATGACTCAAGTTTTGTTTCTTTTGCTTACAATTGCTTTGGTAAATCAGGCTTTCTTTGGTTTCACATAAATTTTTAGAATTCATTTTTCTAACTGTGAAAAATGACATTGGTATTTTGATGGGATAACACTAAATCCATAAATGGCTTTGGACAGTATGGCCATTTTAACAATATTGATTCTTCCATTCTATGAACATGGAATATGTTTCCATTTATTTGTATCATCTCTGATTTCTTTTAGCAGCATTTTGTTATTCTCTTTGTATAGATCTTTAATCTTCTTGATTAGATAAATTTCTAGCTATTTCAACATTTGTGGCTATTGTAAATGGAATTGTGTTCTTGATTTGGTTCTTAGCTAAAATGTTTTTGGTGCATACAAATGCAACTGATTTTTGTACATTGATTTTATATTCTGAAACTTTACTGAATTTTTTTATTAGTTCTGGGAGGTTTGTTTTGCAGTGTCTTTAAGGTTTTCTATGTATATAATCAGCAGCAGCAGAGAGCTAGTTTGACTTCTTTTCCTATTTGAATGCCTTTTATTTCTTTGCCTTGCCTAATTGCTTGGGCTAGAACTTCTTTGGTAGCATCCTTAACTTCCTTACCCCATTGTCCTTTCATAACATTTGCCCTGTGGCCCCCAGTTTTAGATCAATTGAAACATTTGTATATTTTCTCTCCTACACCCAGGGTGCTTGCTGAGCACCACTGGAATAAATCACACAATCATGCAGACTGGGGCTGTTAAAAATTCACATTCTCAAACCTCAATTGGGCCGTCAGTCCCTTCTTGGTCATATTTCTCTCCCATTCTCCAGAGTCAATTATTCCAACCTCCACCAATCTTTCAATGAACTGAACCCTACTGCAGCCCATTTTTTTCTCAGCAGATAATATTGCCTCTTATTTTATCAAGAAAATTAAACCACTCAGGGATGGACAAACTATATTTACAGCCCTACTTCCTCTTTCCCTTATATATCAGTATTCTTTTCTCACTCTGCATCTTCTAGTAACTTGCAATTCCCTAGAAGGCAAACTCAAATTATCTAGAATGGTATATAACACCCTTTATGATCTACTTTCTGCATTTCTTTTATACCTAATTTCTCACTTTTAAGCCCCGAAGTCCAATCACACACAGACACACACACACCCAAACACACACACATGCACACATATACAACTTTCATCTTGTATTTTAGCCATATCAAAATGTTAGATGTTCCTTAAATATGTCAGGCTACTTTGCACCTCCATTCCTTGCTCATTCTACTTTCTCCCCCTACTTAGGATACTATTCCCCATATGCCCCACCCTTCTCTCTTTTATAAAGCCTTTTCTACAAATGCATGCACCCATTTACTACTTTTATGCTCTGTGTCCTTTATCAACTTCTATCACAGCAGCTGCAATAATGCAGTGCATTTATTTGTTAACATATCTGTGTCTCCCTCTAGTAGATCGTAAGCCCTTAGTGGGCAAGGTCTATGTCTTGTTTTCTAAATATCTAGCACAGAATTGATACATATTAAGTGGCTAATCCATCCCCTTTAATATA